CTTTCTTCACTGTCCAGCTCTCACATCCATACATGGTGATGGGAAATAAAATGGCTTGTACGATTCTGATTTTCATTTTCAGTTGTGTATCTTTACTCTTTAGGATCTTTTCTAGTTCTTTGATAGCTGTCCTTCCCATTCCTAGTCATCTTCTGATTTAGGCTCTGATGCCACCAATTTATGGATGACACTCAGCTGTACTCCTCTTTCCACTTCAATTCAAGGAGGCTGACATAGACTGCATCTACCCGTGTAATGAGAGAACTCATTATCACAATTTAAAAATTGTAATAGCGTTGACAGTTTGTTTAAACATTGTGATAGAGTTAAGAGTGTAGTCCCAGGGCTGGGGAATAAATGGGCTGACAATAATAATATCTCTTAACATCCTTTGAAGACATATAGCTACTGTGAAGTCGTAGGCTTTCATGGCTGGCATCCATAGTTTTTTGTGGGTTTTTTGGGCTGTGTGGCCAACTCTTCTAGAACATGGCCACACAGCCCGAAAAACCCATAAAAAACATATAGCTACTGTTTCACACTCTGAAACAGTGATAAGTGAACCCATAGTGAAATTATATCCCATTATCTTGGAAAAGAAAACATTTTCTCTCTTTTTTTCCCCCACCTTCATCTCCATAACTGTTCTTTCGTTTGAGTTTTCAAGTTTCGCTTCTCCCTGATTTAAGGAATAAATAGTTTGGGATTCTTTTCATTTCTCTAGTGACAAAGGGATGGATGTGCACAGACCAGGAGGAGGAATGTGTCCCAGAAGATTCAGAACCTGTGGAACTCCCTGCAATGTCAACGTGGGAAAGAGGAGCAGAGAATATTTTCCAACGTTGCGAGCCAGAGAGTGCCTCTGGAGGCCAAGGAAGGGCAGAGGGTCAACATGAAATCCACCCCTTCGAAAAAGCAAATGAATCTGTTCTTCCTAGAGGGAATGGCGAAGCTCCCCATAAAACCACTGATCAAATGGGCATCAACACTGGTAAGCAATGAAATATTTGCAGGACTAAACAAGCTTCCTCTCTCCATTGTTTTACAGCGTTTTGCAATATCTCATTTTCCGACCCACTTACCTGGGCAACCCAGTGATGCGCATAAAAAGGTCCGCCTGCTGTTGGCAATGGTACAGACAGGAGGCAGGTAATTTCTCCAGCCTTAGGATGAACTCTTAGGAGTTGTCTACACCTGCACGGAACCCGTATTCACCCCATAGCGGCAGTGTAGTTTCCCGGTCTGTAGCAACTCTGGTAACGCCACACTCACTGTGGCAAGACTGGAGCAACCTGGAAGAAAAGGGCAATGTACAGCCATCACATGTCCTATAGTGAGGACTATTTCGGGCCACATGGACATGTCCGCACTGCCCATTGGGATTTCCCTAGCCAAAACGGGTGAGAGGAAGCTCTTCTTTTCTCTGGATTTTGGAGAAAAGCCCCACACTGCCTGCGAATCCTGCAGTTTAGTCTAAAGCAGTGGTTCTCAAAATTTGGTTCGCCAGATATCGTGGACTTCAGCTCCCAGAATTCTTGACTCCTGGTCAAGCTGTTTGGGGCTTCTGGGAGTTGAAGTCCAAAACATTGAAGGACCAAAGTTTGGGGACTGCTGTTCTAATGGTAGTGATTCACTGTGGGCAAAAAAACATCAACATTAAAGTTCCACCGCCTCCCTTTTTTTTGTTTTTAGGGTTGAGTGTTTGATTGTTTTGAGCAGAAGTGGGGACAGTATGTTCCATGGCCCACATGTGCCCCCCAAGGGTTTTCTGATACCCCCCAGAGCCTCCATTTTTGTTTTCAAAAACCCTTTTTTGCCCCCAAATGCTCTCTGGGAAATGTGCGGATGATTTTTGCACCATGGTTTTTGGCACCCCGGGCCTTTTGAGGGCTAGGAGAGGCCTTTTTTCCCAACAAGAAGTTACCTGAATGTTAAAGCCCTCTTTCGATGCCGCCATATTGGATCACTGTTGGCCAGTTTCCAACATGCCAGGTTCTGGAGTATGTGGTGGCCTCCCAGATCTGGGTTTCTTTTTGAATGAAATGGATTACCTAGATCCATTTCATTCTGCTTTCAGGCCTGGTTATGGGATAGACAGAGCTTTGGTCACCTTGGTGGATGACCTATGCTAGAACCTGGACAGGAGGTGTATCCCTGTTGGTTCTGCTGGACCTTTCAGCAGCTTTCAAGACCATCAACCATGGTATCCTTCTGGGCTGACTCTTTGGGGATTGTTTTGCAGAGGCTCTGTTCCTTCCTTGCTGGGGGATTCCTAGTTGACCCCTTGCCCTTGGCCTGTGGAGTCCATCAGGGTTGTGTTTTGTCCCCAGGGCCATTTCGTATATACATGAAACCATTGGGATGGATTGTCCACGGTTTCAGGCTTTGGTGCCACCAATATATGGATGACACTCAGCTCTACTATTCCTTTCCACCTCCATTCAAGGAGGCTGATTTGGGCTGCGTCTGCACTGCAGAATGAATGCAGTTTGGCACCACTTTAACTGCCATGGCTCAATGCTATGGGAATCTGGGGTTTGTAGTTCTGTGAACTATTTAGCTTTCTCTGTCAGAGAGCTCTGGCACCACAACAAACTACAAATCCAGGATCCTATAAGATGGAGCCATGACAATTAAAGCAGTGTTGAATTGCATTACAGTGGGCCCTTAGTATCTGCTGAGGTTTGGTTCCAGGACCCTTCCCCCCCATGGATACCAAAAAGCTGTGGATGTTCAAATCCCATTAAATACATTGAATAGTGAAATGGTGTCCTTTATATAAAATGGCAAAATCATGGTTTGCTTTTCAGAATTTATATATTCTGGATGCTTGAATCTGTGGATAAGAAATCCGTGGATGTGGAGGGCTGATTGTCATTCTGTAGCGTGGCAGCAGCCATGGTTTTAAACCAGTGCCTGTTATCATTAATGGACTGGATGAAGGCAAATAAAGTCAAGCTTATCAATACAAGATGGAGGTGCCCCTGGTCAACCAAAAGACAGATCAGGCAATAAGGATGCATCTTATGATGGACAGGGTTATGCTCCCCCTGAAGACACAAGTCCACCACGGCTTGGTTGTGTTCTTGGATTCAACCCTGAGCCTAGACACACAGGTCTTGGCAGTGGCCAGGAGTGCCTTGGGCCATTCACATGAGACCAGCTCACAGTGCACCCTTCTATTGGTCTTTACTCCAGGACCAAGAGAAGATGAGTGATCCACAAAACCTTAGCCCATGATCAGTAAAAAATACCAAGGACATTTGCTTTCCAAAGACTTAACAGACAAAGCCCCAACCTTTCCTTAGCAATAGTAGCCAAGGATTCTGTTGGCAAGCACAGCCTCATGTATGGTAACCTTCACAGAGGTTTGAAGTCTCTGATGAGCTGGATCAAGCTCTCCTTCACAGTGACTATGACCTCATCACAGAAACCCACCCTCAAACTGTGATTACATACCTTCCAGTTGTCCTAATTTGACAGAAACAGTCCTGATTAATGCTCTGCCTTCCCAATTTTCCACTGCTTTTTAAAATGTCCCAGTTTCTCTCTCCCCCTCCCTTTGTCCTCAGCTCACTTCAGTTGCTGCAAACTGAGTTCAAAGTGCAGAAATTGTTTGCACTCCATTAACTTACCCAGAGATG